GATGGGCACGATGCCATGCTGGCCATACTTTATTGATCCCAAGCTGGGATTTTTTTATCTATCTCTATATAAACAATATAAGCAAAAGATGTCAAAAAATGGATGATTAACGTTGACTTGTTCATAATATACAGATTACAGGGTACAAATCATAAACTTAAGTAGTGCTTCACTAATGGGGATTCAATGCAGGATTAATCATGAATTCCTGTAGCTCACCATTAATAAATGATCAAGTCACTATGACCCTTTGTGATTAATTCACACTTAACAGATCATCAGTTAAGGGTTTGTTCCAAAGTTTGTTTCAGCACCTTTTCAGGTTTCAACATTCAGACGAGTATAATGTTGTATTAGAAACAGTACTATAACACATTGTTTGACATATATCATGTCAGGACTTTGATTAATATGAAGCAAAATGTCCACACCAGACTTACACTGAACAGTTTTATTGTTTATATACTTACATGTAACTATTTTTATCAGACTAATAGAGAATAGTATTCATGACAACACCCACAAAATCACATTGTGTTATAAGTTACTGCGTGTACTTTCTGCCCAGGTACTGCAGATGCAAATCAGCTTGAAGCTAATTCTGGTGCAATATTTTCTAATTGTGCATCGTCACTAACAAAACTAAACTACACACACTCAGACACAGAGAAGCTTTGCACAACTTGAAGATACTTCCGTGTAATAAGTGGGCAACTGTACATCAGGCATTCACTACGTTTGATTAACTGTTACTGATACAAACTAACAGCACATGGCAAATTAGTATTTGTGATGCTAAGTGGCAGATGCAGGATTTTAAAGCGTGTGGCACTGTCACAAGAGAGTATTGTACATTCATAACAAAAGTAAAGCAAACATCTTTCATTCAATACATGCGTTAGAAATACCAAAGGCCATGTTCTGATTGTCCTCATTTGTCAAGGCAAGAAAACACGCTGTCACTTGTTTTCATGTAACATCATCATGAGTGTCAGAATTCTGAAATAACTAATAATAATTATTAACCCTCGTTATGGTGACGGCAGAACACAATGCTAATTGAAAATGTGGCTTCTCAAACTGCTCAGTATGCATAACAGGAACCGTAGCTGCGATGGCCAACGTCACCATAGTTGTCACCACCAGGGTACTTCCCCTGACACGCCAGGCTGTTCGCCTGCGGACAAAGGAGACGTTAAACAAAAGCTCAAAACAGGAAATAAACACAGGTTAGTGGTAAAGTATCTGCATACCTCTGCTCTCTTAATGAACTGCTCAGTGGCGGCTTTCTCGTTCTCTTTATGTCCTCTCCAAGCTCTGAGTGCAGACGCCTGCAGTGCTCGACCAAAGGAGAACGTCAGGATCCAGGGTTTGGGCAGAGGGCAGTTGTTGATGGCATTGAGGTGGACAGAGGCCTCCTCTTCGCTCTGACCGCCTGAGAGAAAAGCCACTCCTGTGGGGAACAGAACACACCGTTTTACTTTCACTTGTGTTTCCGCACACTTTATACATATCTGTGTTAAATCCTCTCCAGACACGGCCGCGGCCTGGGTTACCTGTGACCGCTGGGGGAACAGTGCGGCGCAAAGCGGTGAGGGTTGCCATAGCAACTTCCTCAGGGCTGTACTTGGTGGGGCAGCTGTGTCCAGCAGTGACCATGTTGGGTTTGAGGAGAGTTCCTTCCAGGTACACGTGGTGGTCCGACATGGCCTTGTACACAGCAGCGAGAACCTGCAACACACAGATTGTTTCACTATTTTTTCTTCTCTGTCTCACTCTTTAATCGTCGTAGTAACACACCCCTGATCATGCAGTATCTAAGAAAACAGAAACCCACCTTCTCAGTGATGTACTGGGAGCGTTTCAGGTCATGATCGCCATCGGGCAAAATCTCCGGCTCTATGATGGGCACGATGCCATGCTGGCCGAGAAAGGAGAGATTATCAGCAACAGTACAGAAGCATTATATCACAGAGATGTATTAAACGAGCTACTGCGTTGTATAATAATGGGTTCAGACCTGCTGGCAGATACTGGAGTAGCGTGCAAGAACATTAGCATTTTCTGTGATCGCCAGTCTAGATGGATTGGTGTCACTGATTTTGAGCACACAGCGCCACTTTGCAAAGACGGCTCCATCCTTTTTATACTGCGCACAGCGCTCTGACAGTCCATCTAGACCTATGAGGGAGGTTTAAAATACATCCATTAATTGTCTTGTAACATTTGTTCTTATTGGATATATGAGTGATGTCAGCAGTCTGACCCTGTGTGGTGGTCTCTCCAGAAGTCCCTGCCAGGGGGACAACACCCTTGTCAACCTGAGGAATAAGGAATAGAGACAGTCATGTTCAATTCTTGTATAGAGAAACAACTAATAATCCCCTTTCTATGATTTATTAAACTGACGACACCCGCTGAAGTGACATATTTAATGAATATCACACATTATATTCAAAACAGTACAATGAACCCAAATAGTGAACTAGGAAGTGGAATAGGAAATTTGTGTAAAACGAGTGATTTGGAGGAATTCTGAGTAGATTATTCCCTGTTTATGTATTATGTATTTTTTAATAATCTTTAACAAACTTAATAGGCTTCTTTTTTGAGAAATTCTGTGTTTCCTTGTCCTGATGCTCGGCCATTGTTCTATTAGACAATTTCCTTTCCTTTACATTTACTTTTTCTTCAAAGAAATAACCCAAATGTTGAGATATACACCTACTTTGTATATATTTAAAGTCATCAATCAGGAATGTCTCGCAAACCCTCCATGAAGCTTTAGCGACCACTGGTAGGGGGTCCCGACCTCCAGATTGGGAACCACTGACATAGGTTCACGCTACAAGTTCATTTCTAGTTTATTGCTCAATATCAGCCCATATCAGGTTCCAGTAGGACGAATGTCAATCTAGAGTGAAGTAAAAGTCACATGAATTCTGACTATTTACACTGAGGGGGTTGCACTGCAAAAATCTGACCTGTATCTGAATTGAGGAGATCAGATTTAATGTGATTTGTGCTGTTGACACTGTTATGAAAAACAGAAAAACTGAGTCACATATGAGCATAAAAAAATAAAATAAAATTTGGGCCACTTGTGATTGCAGTGTGAACGTAGTCACAACCATACATGTTTGATCAGGAACTCAACCTATCACCACATGGGTTGCTACAATTTGATACTCCACATTATTGATATTATCTGGCACTAAACTTCCACACCTTGATGCCGACCAGGATGCCCCTGTCCCTGATCATTTTGACAAAGGCTACGCCGTTATCAGAGTGCTGGTACAGCGTCTCATGGAAGAAGATGACCCCTCCGATGCAGCTGTTGATGCGATCGTCTGCACTGAAGAGAATTTGGCGGTACTGTCTGCGGTTCTCCTCTGTGTTCTCCACTCCAACCTGAGCCAGTCGCTTAGCCATGCTGCCTGTAATTAATGTGATACATTAGTTAATATATAGTATGCACTCTTTGGTCTGGCTGGTCTTTATCAGTGTGTGGCTGTAAATGGCAGACATTTCCCACAGTTTAAAGAAAGGGAAGAGTGCTACACACCCACAGACTCATCTGCAGCCAGGATGCCCTTCCCTGGAGAAACTATGCGTAGAGCGTTTTCATGTAGCTCCCTCTTCTGCGCCTCGGAGAGTGTAGGGGACTGGTGTGTCATCCTGAGTGACTGATTGTCCTACAGCCTCTGGTAGAAGATGTGACCTTATGATTATATCATTCACACATTAACAACCAAATTAAAATATAATTTATGAATTAAGCTTTTTAAATCAGAAAATGTTAGGTTTCATCCATAATGTGTTTCTCCCTCCGTCTGTCTTTCATATCAGCTTCTAGTCAAGTCAGATTTTTCCAAACATCACATTTTACCTCAGTGGGCTTTACAATCTGTATAGCATTCAGCACCCTCTGTCCATAGACTCTTGATTCGGGTAAGGGAAAGCTAAAAATAAAACTTTTAACATGGAACAAATGGAAGAAACCACAGGGAGAGCCAGATAGGAGGTATCCCTCTCCTAGGATGGAAAGACATGCAAGTTTCTATAGATGTAGTTCTAAAAACATGGAGCCCCGTCAAGTGTCTGCAAGTCAGCAATAAAACTTTGAGTGTCTAATTATTTAATATCAGTAAGAAAAGACTTTAACTTCCTGAACCAAACCACTTATTTCACGTAATTCATCAAATACAATCAAAAAGGAAAGATAAAGATCTATTTATCACATGTTAGAGCAGCACATGAAACAGGCTATAGAGGTGAGAAACAGACACAAACAACAGGGGAATAAAAAGTTAAAATCGGAGACAAATGTGAAATTAACTAAATAGTTTCATATGGTGTAAAAGATGATATCAGTTTGGACATTAAATCTTTGTTGTAAACTTAAATGTATAAAATATAAAGTCATTTTAAAAACTGATAAATACCCCTGATGGTCCTCATTGCAGTTCTCATTACATTAACTCATTATCATACAGGTGCATCCACTGAAGTCAGGGATATAACCCTACATTTATACATCAAAGGAAAGCCAACTAAAAGAGATGAGCAGTAAAAGCTCTTACCTGACAGAAACTGAAATCAAATGTGTCCTGTCCTCTGGTGTGATGAACACTGACAGAGACTCTCAGTCAGCTCTAGTTTGTATCCAGCTCAAGTGTGTCACACCTCATAAGCCAACACCCCTGGGCGGCGCTTGCACGCCCACCTTTGCCCCATATAAATTAGAAGATTTTTGATGAATCATTGTTCTATTTACATATAGAAGGATTTTTTTGGTCATGCAGCCGCTTGCTTTTCAAGCTGATATGCCCACTTTAGCATTCGCTGTAAAAAATGGTTAAAAAAAACTGTACGGCTGTGGCTGTAATAAGTACAGTAGAACTTTTTCGACTATTAAAGTAAAAAGATATTAGTACTGTTGACTTTACAGTTAAGTTTGGAGCTTTATTCCATATTTTACCATATCAATAAAAAAAAAATTACCATCAAAAGAAACTGTTTTCCATATAAATATGAATTACCGATAAAATAACGGTTTTGCCTTGCAATATGAGGGTGTTTTGCTGTGCAGTTCCTTTGCAATGAATAACTCAGTGTACTGCTTCTTAACATGCTGTGTTGGTGTAAATTGGATGCCATATCCACAATTATTTTACAACTTTACTGTAGTGTTTTAACTCATAACCACTCCACATTCAGGATGATTGTGAAATAATAAATAATGTATTCTGTAGAACAATCTACCCCTATAGCAACCTAATTTAAGCGTTTAACCATACCCCATGGCGTGCTATTTTTATTTTAATTAGTAAAAATGTGCCCTGAGGAAAGTTTCAAGTCTCCTGATAATTTGGTCCTCACCCTCGAATTCACTGGGGTGTTTCAGTCTCAGAGCAATTCATGCACTTGGTGGCTTCTTTTCCTGAGCTTTAAACTGTAAAGAACACAATGGAACATGTCAGAAATAGAAATCATTTCCAGGTTCCACTCAATGTAAATGAACATGGTAATACGACCCAAATTAGCCCAAAAATTAGGTCAGCTAAATCTTTTCACGTTTTGAAGAGGGAATTTTTCAACTTTTTTTTATCTCATTGACTTCTGTTTGAAAGCTTCCAAATACAGAAACTATTTATTCTATATACAGTATATGAAACAATGTTTGTTTTCAAATACTAACAGAGAAATTAAATGATGATCCGTGAGCTAAACCTCTTTCCAAATAAGTTGAGATAACTTGAGGGTGTGGAATTATGTTCATTTGCGTCGCTGCACTTTAAGCTACATTCAGGAAACTACATGTTTTCTGTTGTGTGTTCTGTTACATAATGTCACTATTTGGTTGGACTCAGTGGGACGACTCGCCGGCATTTCAGGGGACTCCTCTCTTCACTATTGTGGGTCAGTGTGCCTCTGAAACTAGATATGGGTCACTGGACTGCCTGCCACTATACAGCCACAACACAGACATGGTGGACCTGTCTAAGACAAGGGCCTGAGAGGGAATTCAATGTCAGGAGGCAGTGGAAGGAGGAGCCGGTGCACTCCCATTCAGGAGATACAGATTTAAATAGATACATGACTTCGAGCAGTACAGCAATTATACGTGGCTTCCTCCGCCGGGACACGCCGTTTTTTTTTCTCTGTTACCTAATTAAAAACATTTAATGATGATACTTTATCTGGTCCTCAATTTTCTGTCCTATTAAGGTTGTCCTCGATGGGTTTGTGAGTGCTCCTCTAAATAGGTCGACCCAGTTGGCCATAATGTATCCAGGTACAACGTTCATATGATAACTGGTCTAGAATAAGACTCATGGTATGTTTTACCGAGCAAATGCAACAGTAGGGCTTATTTTATTTAACGCTTTTGTCACCAGTCCTACAGAACCATTTAAAATAGATTTTGATAAGTTTAATGTTAATTGTTCTTTGTAAGTACGATTCATGACGGTTAAGAATGACTGTCTAACCATGAAGAAAGAGAAGGCCATAATATGTGTTGTTTCTTTTACCTATAGCCTTGTTAAATTATACTTTGTGTAACTTTTTCTCTGAGATCCAACTTTGTCATGAAACCGTAGAAATTTCCATTTCCTCTGAGCATTTTAAAGACATCTTGTCAATGTTGGCGTAAAAGTTTAGACTGAAAGTCCATTCTTGGGCTCCAAATGGACTCTTGTGGCGAGGGTGATCATGGGATACAGTTGAAACAGCTTTATAGTTGAACCTGAGGTGAGATTGTTTCGTCAGCTACAACTGTAGTGTTATATATACAGTGATCAGCCATAACAATATGACTACTGACAGGTGGAGTGAATAACACTGATTATCTGACTATCATGGCACCTGTCAGTGGGTGGGATGTATTAGGCAGCAAGTGAACATTTTGTCCACAAAGTTGATGTGTTAGAAGCAGGAAAAATGGGCAGCGTGAGGATTTGAGTGGCTTTGACAAGGGCCAAATCGGGATGGATAGACGACTGGGTCAGAGCATCTCTATAACTGCAGCTCTTGTGGGGTGTGCCCGGTCTGCAGTGGTCAGTACCTATGAAAAGTGGTCCAAGGAAGGAAAAGCAGTGAACCCGAGACAGGGTTATGGGCAGCCAAAGCTCATTGATGCACGTGGGGAGTGAAGGCTGGCCTATGTGGTCCGAGCCAACAGACGAGC